CTGGGTCAGTGTTCTGATGACCTGGTTTGACTGGGTCAGTGTTCTGATGACCTGGTTTGACTGGGTCAGTGTTCTGATGACCTGGTTTGACTGGGTCAGTGTTCTGGATGAAGTCTTGTAACGGTCTCTCTTTCTTCCTGCAGGACGCTCTGAGTGAATACGACAAACTTAAGAACCTGAAGAAGGTAAGACCTGCCATGTTGTCCTCATGTCCACCATCTTGTCCTGCTGCTCTCTAAAACAGGGGCGGAGCTAGACTTTTTGCAAGGGGTTGCACAGGGATGGTCAGCCTGTTTTTTTGTTTTTTTTATTAGGGGGATCACATAGAAATCAGGAAAAACACTCTGGATTTGAAAATTTGAGGTGGCCACCACAGCTAGCGTTTAAATGACTAATTCAGCCATTTTAAAACTAACAGATTAAATTAGCTGCAGAGTAGCTGAAAATGATCAAATGCCAGTTGTCAATGCTAATCCTAAATTAAGCCAACCACAAATGCTAATTTTACAAGGACTACAATTATTTTACATTTTTAAAAATGCACAGCTGGTAAAAGCCTGAATTTTGCCTGAAACTCTCAGACTGAAGAAGTCTCTTGGAGAAGAGACAAAACGTTTCATTAGAGAAGAACCCGTCCAGAAGACCTACACAATTTTTTTCTTTTTGCACAGCTGGTAATTTATAACATACAGTAGCATCAGAGAACAATCTTTAACAAATCTAAATGCAAACACAAAATCCAAGATCCCCGCCCAGTTATTTGGGGGTGGCACCTGGAGTGGCCAACCAAGTGCCAGGGGCTGCCACCCCTTTGGCTCCGTCCCTGGTCTAAAACTGTCTCTGTCTCTGATCTGTCCTCTCAGTAACTGGACAGTGTCAGGTCCATCAGTAATCAGATTTTGTGTTTAGGAAACAAACAGTATTTCAGCATAGAACACCACCTACAGGCCTCACAGAGGTACTACAATCAATTGGACTTTTGTTGGAAAGAAAACATTTTTAGGAATGTTGTCATGTTTACAGGATGTTTTAATAATGGCAAATAAAAACAATATTTTTGAAAAATTAAATTTCTATGTGGACATGGCCAAAATGTCCCTGAAGACTCTTAACCCCCTAGATTGTCCCGATAAGGTCACATGACCTCTAAAGAGTAAAAATATATGGAACAGGAAGTACTGAATAAAAAACATCTGTTGTCTGACTTTACATAACCAAGCTACTGGAGAAACACAGAACTATCTGTCTTATAAACAGGAACAAACAGCTGAAATGTTTTTTCCCTCCAGTCTTCAGAGTACCAGGTGAAGAAGAGGTGTAAATACCTGAGATCCAAACTGTCTCACATCAAGAAGATGATCAGTGAATACGACCGCCGCCTCTAAAGCACTGAGCTGTAGAACCCCCTCCCCACCACCCCCACCTGTCTGCTTGATTTTCATTTTTAATTCAGTCAGAACCCTTCATTTYGTTTTCCCCACAAAACAACTGAATAAAGTGTTTGTTTGTTTTTCTTTTTGTATTCTCTGCAGCCACTGAGCAGTTTTAAACCTCTGAGCTCCATGAATAATAGCTTTAAAGACCAGATCATGTGAATTAGTTAAGTTTTAAATGAATTATTTTAGTCATTAATTTGAGGTGTTTGAGGTATAGCGTTTTAGCCATGTTTCTGTATATTTTGCAGTCTGTTTGAATTTGTAAATACTTGGATTTTATTCTCTGCAGCAGAATTCTGGGTTTTTCAGTGTTTTCTTTAGAACCATGTTAATGATGGACAATTAAAAACTCAAGCAGAAATATTTTTTAACCATGTCTTTGCTGTAATAAATTTAATTTTGATATCAAGTAATTAAACCATCTTACGTTTTTGCTTCATTTTTTTTACTCCAATAATTTATAGTTGATGGAGTTGAGCTGTTCTGTGTACATGTTGACTTTAATAAAAACTCATCAACAAACACTAATAAATCTCTTCTCKAACATGTTTAGAAGAACTTTCAGGGAAGAATAAAACAACTTTTGGACTTGAAGTTATTCAGAGGTTCAGGTGATTCACCTGAGGAGGAGGAGCCACAGAAACACACCTGTGTGGTCAGGACGAGCAAATGTATTCCTGCTGTACCTCCTCTGGACATGTCAAAAGTATCCACTGTCCTTCCTCAGGATGTCCATCCATCCATCCATCCATCCATCCATCCATCCATCCATGCTTGTTCCAGAGTCAGGTGAAGGGGCAGAACCTTGAGCAGAGAGGCCCAGACCTCTCTTTCCCCAGCCACCTCTTCCAACTCTTCTGGGACGATTCCAAGGCGTTCCCAGGCCATCCATCCTCTCCTGGTCTTCCCCAGGGTCTCCTCAGCTCCCTCTTCACCACAACAGACGGTACAGAGTCTGCAAAACTGCAGAAGTTATACCAATCCACCTATCAATCTCGTGCTCCATTCTTCCCTCACTCGTGAACAAGACCCCATTCTTGAACTCCTCCACTTGAGGCAGAACCTCACCTCCAACTCGGAGAGAGCAATCCACCCTTTTCTGACCGAGAGCCATGGACTCAGATTTGGAGGTGCTGATCCTCATCCCAGCTGCTTCACGCTCAGCTGCGACTCACTCCAATGAGAGCTGAGGATCACAGCGCGATGATGCCAACAGAACCACATCATCTGTAAATAGAGATTGAATCCCGAGGCCACTGAGGACACTTTCTGCCCCCTGGCTGCACCGAGAAATTCTGTCCATAAAAACTGAACAGAATCAGTGACAACAGGCAGGCCTGGAGTCCAACTCTGAAGGGGTCCAACTGACCCCATGTGAACCAAACTCTCACATTTCCTGTATAAAGAATGGCCTGTAACAATGGCTCTACACTACAGTCCCATACACGTGTAGCACCCACCACTGTGTACCCTGAGGAACATGGTCCCTGCAGTGCGTTCTGCTGAGGTGATCGGCTGTAGCCTCCCATCTCTCCAAGACCTGTACGTCTCCAGGACTGTGAGGCGAGCAGGTGGGATCACAGCTGACCCTTCTCACCCTGCAGCCTGTTCACACCACTCCCCTCAGGCAGAAGGTTTCGGTCCATTTGGACCAGAACATCCTGCCATAAGAACAGTTTCTTCCCCTCTGCCGTCAGACTCTTGAACATTTAGAATCACGTCACTCTATAACTCTGCCTTGGTCACTTTATCACTGGTTTTTAAACTGCACAACCCCTGACCAGATTGTATTCTGGTCTTTTTCAACACTGGATCTAACTGCACTACTCCAAATATATTGTCTGCTCTGAATACTGTATTGAACTGGTGTATGTATGTTTTACATATTTTATAATACAGTATATATTTTTTTCTTTATCCTTTTGTATTTTCTTTCTTATGTTTTATACTTATTGCACCTTAACACCAAAGCAAATCCCTGGTCTGTAAATCCTGTTCATTGATAATGGCAATAAAACTGATTCTGATGCTCTCTGRTTTTAATATGCCTTCTCCAAGTCCACAAAACACATGTAGACTGGAYGTGGAAACTCCCATGATCCCTCGAGGACTCCAGTGAGGGTAAAAAGTTAGTCCAGTGTTCCACAACTAGGACAGAACCTGCATTGTTTCTCCTGAATCTGAGGTTTGACTATTAATCGGACTCTCTTCTCCAGTCCTCCTGAATAGCCTTACCAGGAAGGCTAATAGTGATGCCTTTATAATTGGAGCACACTCTCTGGCCCTCCTTTTTGACAAGGGGAACCACCATCCCAGTCTACCAGTCCAGTGGCACTGATGTTGCAAAGGCATGTCCACCAAGATAGATCCACAACATCCAGAGCCTTGAGGAAATCAGGGTGGATCTCATCCACCCCTGCAGCCCTGCAGGGGTGGATGAGTGGAGCTTTTAATTTACCTCAGCAGCCTCAGCCCCAAAGTCCTCAGACTCTGCTTCCTCCACAGAAGACTTGCCGTTAGGATTCAGAAGGTCAGAGAAGTATTCCAACTTCACTGAGCACAGTGTTATTGAATTTCTGTTTCCCCTGCCTCAGCCGCAGGATGGTTTACCAGAAACTCCTCGAAGCCAATCAAGAGTCTTTGACCAAAGTCTCACCAACTCCTCCCACATCTGAGCTTTTGCCTCAGCAACAACCAGGGCTGCAGCCTGCTTGATCTGTCAATACTCCTCAGCTGCATCCGGAGTCCTACCAGMCAACAAGACCCAACAGGACTCCTAAAGCCCTAGAATCATTCAGCCACACAAACTCCTTTGCCACGATAGGGTGACAATTCCACAGAGGAGGAGGATGTTTCCAAACCAATATACCCACTGTCCCTCCTCCTTCTCAGTCTTGTCTTTCCAACCTTTTCTCCAGTCCTTCAGTCTGGTCTGTACCTCTGATGATCTAATATTTATTCTTCTCCATCCTTGTCACTCCCAAGGAGAACCTCAACATCTTCATCTCTGACACTTCCAGTTCTGTCTCCTGCCTTTTTGTCCTCATCTCTGTCTCCAAACTTTAACTCAGTCTTTCCTGAACTATTCTTCACCTTCTTACCACACCCCCTGTCCTTGACGTCCGTAGGGGGTCTTGATGTGTTTACACGTTTTAACTTAATGTGTGTAATTAAAAACAAAATTAATTTACATTGATCCTACAACATGTCTCATTGCTCACAGGGACTTTCAAATACGTTTGTCATTTATGGCATTTTTTTTGGGGGGGGGGGGGGG